TTATACACTTAGATTTCTCAATACATTTGTAAGTTGAGAAGGTGTACTGAATTGCTTTCTTGAAAAACTCCACTAAGTGGCAGAATACCTATTGAATATTGGTTGCTGTATTTTGCTGTTTGTCATTAAAACTTATCTTTCCATATTCTAGAAAATATTTATATTTTAATAAAGAAAATAGATTGCAGTCAGATGTTTCCATTCTTGAAAGAAAATAGGTAATATAAATGATAACAATGTCAAGAATATAAACAAAGAATAGAGGGGTGTGAACATTGTTGTTTCATATATAGACAACTAAGCACAGACTGTGGGCATCCTTCTAACTCTTGGGAAGCTGAATTGAGAGTACCATTTCTTTCTTTTTCTTTACCTCTTTTTTGAGAACTTCCACTTGTACAGTGTTTAACATATGGGGATGTATCAAATGTATCTATACTTTGATTTAAGATATTCTAAATATGGATAATTTCTAACCTAGGAAAACATGTGGTTTAAGTAAGTGAAAAGAAAAGTTCAGGAAAATTTTTTTCTTGTAATCCTTCATTTGGCATTTGATTTATTAATTGAAAGTTTTATTTAAATGCTTATTAAAGGATGTGATTTATAATATATAGAAAATAGCCACAAGAAAAAATAGAAAATTACTATAAATATCTTATCTTGTTCTACCACTCTTTGTCTAGTATGTATACATGTATGTTCTAATGTATAATTTTTCTTTTTCATTTAAAAATCTAATGTCCCCAATTCTGTTCAGTTTTAAACTATTACAACTTTAACTTCATATTTTGTAAAGGGCTAAAGGTATGATTTAAACGACAGATGGATATAATATTTTAATCCTAAATGAAAGATAATGTAAATAATAAGCATGGATCTGATTTGAATAAAGATTTTAAAATAGTAATAATGTATTTCATTTTTAACATAATTTAGAGTGGTCAGTACCAATGAGTGAAGATAGTTTTCTTTTATGAAGATAGATATAACTTTGGAATTCTTATTTTAAGAAAATAAGGATAAGCCCAAAGTTTTATGAGTTATATTACTAAGTGTTTTATTAGAATTAAATATAGTTTTTCTAATGAAGACGTGTTTTTGGAAAATATAATTCTAAGAATTTACTTCTTGTACTAACTGGTGTAATTACTGTAACGATGATTTGTGTCTTTTTAGAGTCTTAAACAGTATCAAGATATTCTTCTAAAAGTCATGAAACATTTCTATATTCAAATAATAACAGATAAAATAAGTTATCCTCTATTCATAAGTTACCTTGAGTTCATATTGCTTGTACTGTTGACCTCTGCAACTTTGATCCTTTAAAGTCCTTTCAAGCTATTGCCTTTACACATACCCATTTAACTTTTAGCAAATCAAGACCCTTTAACAAGATAGAGTAAAAATTAAATGTATCTTTCTTCTTAATACTTAAATACTTTAAAAAAAAACAACAACAAACAAAACCTCACAATGCTTCAGTAATCCACAATTGTGATACAGAGAATTTACTCTTAGTGCTGTCCAGAATATATTCCCCATATTGACCTACTGCCAAGTAAGGTAAATTTCATTTTCAGTCCTCAAATAATACTAAGCAAGGGCTCATGGGAGGTTTTTCTGTTTGCTTAACATTAAACTCTCTTCTTTGACAGGTAGTGATGGGCAGAGCATGGTGGATAGAGGTGTTCCTTTCAGTTTTAGACAATGCCATGCCCATTTGTCTCTTTTGAAATGACAATTTTTACAAAACATATTAAAAAAAAATCTGTGGTCATAGGTGATAATAGGAAACAGTGCTTACTTTGCTATTGTTAAGCAGTTCACTTATATGGGATCATAATCACTCATCCACTGTTCTGAAATCTAGAAATCTCTGAAAACCAAATGTTTCTTTAATAAGCTTGTTGTCAAATCTGCTTTGGTAGTAAAGCCTGACCTTCACTGACATGAGGCTATTACGGGCTTTATCTCACTTAGTGTGAGTATTCATTCATTTTGCTGCATTTTGTGTGAGAGTATGGGGTGCTGATCCAGGACACAATGAGGGTGTTAGGTAGTAAGATGGTGTGCATACCCTGTTCTGTTAAAAAAAAATCAGGAACATATACGGTACCAAGGATTTTGGAAAAGGGATTGTATACCTGCACTTTATCTTCAAATAAGCTTTTTAAAGTGGATACCATTACCATCTCCATTTTCAGAATGAAGAAAGGTTAAGTAATTGCTCAAGGTCATATGGCAAATAAGTGGCAAAGTTGAGACTAATTTGTGCAGTTTGGCTCCAGAGTCCATGCTCTGAACCATTAACTATACAATGCTGTTTCTGTTACTGCTCTTCTGTAAAACCATAAGCATATAGATCAACTGTAGCATAAGATAAAATTTAGTCAAAATTTGCTTGCTTAAAATTTTAATACCTTTGATTTATGGTTTAAGAAGTTGGATATATCAGAGAACCAATAAGCTATATTCTGCCGATACTTCAGCATTTTGCTGACACTGTGAGCTATCCAAAATGCCAATGTGTGAGTGGCAAACTTACAACCCATTTAGCAAACTTGTATGCAATGTAAAAATTATGATTATTCAAAATTTCAACGTTATATAAAAGAGACAGCAGATAATGAAAGCCATATACTTACGTTTACTTTTTAACAGCATTCAATTTATGGCCCATTTTGTCTCATTTATACTTCACGTGTGTTCCTCTCAACCCATACTGACTATTTTGAAGCAAATTTCAGACATAGGACTTGATTATTATATTTAAGTCTGAAATGTTTCTGTAAAAAGTAACTTTACCTCATCAACTATTTGGTTACTTGCATCATAATTCATATAGGAAAGACAGGATAAATCTGCTTCATTCTTTTCCTTTATTTACCAGTTCTTACAATTAAAGTTGTTTCCTTTCTGTCATCCAAGATGAACAGCAAGGTTTTTGGCTTGTGTATTTGATCGATTAGTTGGATCTTTTTGAATTTAATATTTAAATATGTTTGTGCTTCAATCCATTACAGTTACCCTATTGATGCTTTAAATTATTCTATCTTTGGCCAGAGGGAACCTTCTCAAACTGGTTTCTGAGTCCTTTTGGTATGACCCTCATAGCCTTTGATTGCTTCCTCCTGTAAAACCTTTCAGGTTCTTCTAGTACATTTCCTGCCCCATATCTAAGATCATTTTTCTATGTATACCCCAAATTAATCCATTTTTCTATGGAGCCCATGTTCCTTAAATGGGAAAGTGTGTAACGAGATCACAGTCTGGGCACAAGGGGTGCTTCTTGCTACATGGTTGGTTGTTTCTAAATCTTTTCAACGGATGATGAAGGGCAGATTTGGGTTTTTTTTTTTTTAATTAATTTATTTTTTGCTGCGTTGGGTCTTCGTTGCTGCGCGTGGGCTTTCTCTAGTTGCGGCTGGCGGGGGCTACATTTCGTTGCGGTGCGCGGGCTTCTCATTTCGGTGGCTTCTCTTGTTGCGGAGCACGGGCTCTAGGCTCCCGGGCTCTAGAGCGCAGGGCTCAGTATTTGTGGAGCACGGGCTTAGTTGCTCTGCGGCATGTGGGATCTTCCCGGAGCAGGGCTCAAACTTGTGTCCTCTGCGATGGCAGGCGGATTCTTAACCGCTGCGCCATCAGGGAAGTCCCTAGTTTTAGTTTATAATGTAAAATATTTACATGATTCTAAAGTCACAAGTATATAATGTATATTCAGAGAACTTATCTTCTTTGTCCCCTTTACCTATATTCCCTCCTTCCCCCATAGGTAATCATTTTAATGTTGTTATTCTATTTGTAAATAACAATTTGTATACATAAATATATACATATATATTCCCTTTCCTCAATAAATGATAGCATATTGCACATTCTTCTTCTACTGTGCTTTTTCCACTCAATAATATATCCTGCAGTGTATAGTGATATTTCTCAATCCTCTTTTACGCCTGCGTAGCTCTACATTGTGTGAATATACCATAGTTTATTCATCAGTCTCCTGTTAATAGACGTTTGAATTTATTGTTTAAAACTAAATTTTAACATTAATATTTTGGGAGGGAAATTCTATGTTAAGAATGGCTGTTACAGTGCGATAGAACACAACCTCATGTTCTTAAAGCCCCATCACATTTTGTCTCCCCTGAGCCAGAATGACCACAACTTAATATTTAGCCATTTAAAATAGCACCATGTGCACCTCCCAACAGTTGGATTGGTTTGTCTGCTCTTGCAATGAGACTAACATATTTTTAGAAGCCTTTCTCATATATTGTTCTCATGCGTTCTTTAAAAAAATCTATGTATTTTTCTCTATATCTTTATCACATATCACTCAGGGGCAGACCAGCTTGTTTATTCATTTTGAACCAACTAAGAGGAAAGCTATATTTCCTGTATGTGACAAAATAGATTGGTGGCAAGTAAGCTGAGAAAGCACTTTTTAAAGTTGCTCTGCTTATTGGTAAGGGGTGGCAAAGTACGAAATAATAGAACAGTACTTCCTTTAGAGGCAGAGTCTTTTACATGAAGAGTAAACGAGTTAATACTGTACAGTGCTTTAGAATAATCCTTGGCACATATCAAGTACCGTGTGTTTTTGCATTGCTGTTATTTGAAAGAAAACATCCAGATAATGTTACTCATTTAGCAAGTTACTAATGGAACTTGTTCTCATAACGGTATCTGAAAAAATTATTTGAAGATTATGTAAGCCTTTGGTAACAAACTGTTGTATTTTCTTATGATCATAGTACTTAATGCGGGTGATTTTATGTGTCTGAGCGTAAGTTTATTTTGATGATACCAACTTTGATCAGTTAAAGTTGAATCAGTAATGCTCACCTTAACTGTGCTCTGTACTACGCAGCATACTATGAGAACCGAGGGCGCCAAGAGTAGAAGTATGGGAGATGGGCGTTCAAATAATTATGATAAAATAATTAAGCAATTGCAATTTAAATAATTATAAAATAATAAAACGATAAAAATACAACTCCACAAAGCGGCATTTGACCTTGGTGAGTTTTCGGATAGTTACGAAGAGAGGCAAGAGTATTACTACATAATATTCAAGGACTCCAAAGAATCCTCCCATCCTCCGGTTGGCCACCAGAAAGTGCTGCCAACTACGGGCAGGCCCCACGTATGAAAGTGAGAGCGGCAACTTCGGCTCTAATTAAGAAAACAGTATAACTCCGCCTCAGTGCAACGCAATGAGAAGGAAGAAGGGAAGGAGAGTCAGGCTTTCTACCCAACCCGTCCCAGGGTCCTTTAAGGGCCTTATCCCTTCCTCCCAAGGAGGACAGTCCAGCCTGGCTCTCTGGCCCTGGCGGGAGAACGCAGGGAACCGCAGACGGTACCCCTCGAGCCCGGTCCCCGCGGACCTGCCATCGGGACCCGCGCTCCCAGCCCCCGCCCGGCCCGCGTGGCCCGGCTTCTGCCCCGGCGGCCCCCGGCGCGGCGGGGGTCCGCCTCCCCGCGCAGGCCGGCCTAGGTGTCCCGGCGGCTCCCGGGCGCCCCCTGGCCCGGCTCCGGCGCCCGAGGTTTCCGGTGAGCTGCAGTCGCCGGTTATGACGACTCCCTCCTCCGGAGCAGCCGCCGCCGCCGCTGCCTTCTCCGCAGCCCCGGTTCGCCCGACTCCAGGTGGGACTCGCCCCGGGGTTCGCGGAGCCTTCACCCGTCCCCCTGTGTGCCGCGGCAGGCTGAGCGGCTCTTGGGGCCGGGCGCGCGGTGGGCGCTTCTGCCCGCTCCCTGCGCGGCTTCCCGGAGGGCTGGCGCCTCTCCACGGGTCCGCCTGCGCCTTCCCATTGCCCGCGGGCCGAAGAGGCGGACGTGGGGAAGGCGATCCTGGCCCTCCCGACTCCGAGCGCTCGGTCTCTTCATGGCGCCTGCAGCGGCGCACGGGACCCCGGGGGCCCTCCGGACGCGGGGAAGAATGCCGGCTCCCCGGCCGGCGCCCCCTTGACCGGGTTTCCCAGGCCGGGGCGGAGCCGCTCTCCAGGCCCCTCCCAGGCGCGCCAGGGACCGGGGGTGGGGAGTGCGGTGTTGGGTGTTGGGCGGTCCCCGGGGATCTCTGCGCCCCAAACCCCAGCGCAGCATCGAGGCCGCCGAAGGGCGCTTGCCGCTGACCACCCCCGCCCTGGTTTCACTGACGTTCTAGCAGACAGCTGGTGGACCTCACCTGGGCATCTCAGACAGGCCCTTTCTAACTTCCTGCCGTGGAAAACTTCTAGCATTTGTCGGGGCGAGCAGTTTTAGGAGTCCTTGTGGGTCTCAGATGCGTTTAACTTTTCACCCGTCCACTGCCTTCTTTAAACTTTTGCAAGCTCTGTCACAGAACATCACCCCCTCTCACCCGTTGTGTTCCTTATCAGCCTCGGGCTTTCATGTCTCATCATCTTTCAGGCTTCTCCCTTTTTCCTTTCCCCTTCTTAGGCCTGTGGAAACAGCTGTTTTGTGCTGAAGGAAAAAGTAGCTCAGCTGCTAAAGCTTCTATCTGCTGGGGAAGTGCGCCCTCCCATCCCTCAGGGGCTCTTGCAAGAGGACTCAACACCAGAAGGGCTCTGCCAGGCCCCGAGGTTGTGCTTTCAAGCACTAGCAGCCACTCCTAGTTCATGCAAGCAGGTGCATGCTCTCCGCAAAAGCCAGGTTTCTGATCTGAGTCTTTAGATTTTTCCCTTGACCTAAGCGTTACTCCTTCATGGATCAGTGGATTTAGTTATGGCTAGAGCTCAGTCCAGGACAATGGATTTGGATAACCAAAGGTCAAGACTTGGTCATAGCAGTGACCTGTTTCCTGGAGGGACGAGCAAAGGATTGGCCATTCTGCCTGTTGAATCTGAAAGCTCAGATTTGTAGTAGAGCCTAGGGAGCAGTTTGATTCGGTGAGTCGGATTACTTTGGTGAGAACCAGGCAGATTGTTTTCTCCGAGGAATGTTTTATCTGCTGAGTGTCCTGTTGGCCTGTACCAGTTGGTGCCTGTAGAAAGTGGGTCATCTCCTTCCTGCTCGCTGTTAGAATCTGTTCTGTTAAGTTGCTGTCTTGAGGGTTATGACCTGCAACCTTCCTTTTAGCAGTATGTATTTGTTAAGGCCAGGAAAGGGCACCTGAGCCAGGCCTTCTGCTTAAGGCGTGTCTCACTACATGCCAGTCCCTCTGCTTACAGGTATATCTTGTTAAATTATCTTCTCTCTTAATATTTCCTTTAATTCAAAATATCATCTGGATGTGAAAGTCTATTTTAACATCCTTTTAAGGTAATATGTTTCATTTTTGACAGATTTTAGATATCTGAAACATCACAACAGCTTCTTGGTGGTTCTCAGGATTGAAGAGGTAAATATTTTCATTATAATTAGAGTCACTGTTGCTATTAATATGTATTTTTAAATTTTGTGAAATTGCTATCAACTCACGATTGGATAGAAGTCCCAACTAAAAATATTAATTCAGGTGAGCTTTATAACAAATAACAATATACTCCTTTTAGGGTTGCCTAAAAGAGCCACTGTATTTCCCACTCCAGAGGGGAAAGGGATTTCTTCTTCGTGTCCCAACTGTTTAGTTATGATTACTTGGCCTTGGGACTTGAGGCCTGATTGAACATAGCAGTCTATTACTAAAGGCTCCATCTTTATCGCCCATAGTCAGTGAAGACTGATTTTGAACGCTGGGTTTTCCAGTGTGCTCCAGTGACAGCAGACCCTGCTGGGGAGCTGCTCATGTGTACCAGGGCTCTATCATCTGGTGGGAAGACCACTTAAAAAAAAATAGAGCAAAGAAACCACTAAAGTGAACCCAAAATGGCACGATTATTATCTGTGAAATATAAGTGAAATCTAGTCTAAGAGATTTAATCCTTCTAGGGTGAGTTAGAAATGCAGTAAGGTCCGTGACCATCATCTCTTTTCACAATACTAAGGCGTGGCAGGGAGAGTTTAAGGGCACAGCCCTGAGGCAGACTAAGAAAACTCACTCCTGGAGTTTTCTTAGTTTTAGTCTTAGTTGTTAATAACGTAGATGTTATTTTTTTTTTAATATTTATTTATTTATTTGGCTGTGCTGGGTCTTAGTCGCGGCATGTGAGATCTAGTTCCGTGACCAGGGATCGAACCTGGGCCCCCTGCATTGGCAGCACAGAGTCTTAGCCACTGGACCACCAGGGAAGTCCCCATAGATGCTATTATACCCCCTAGAATGTAAGCTCCACGAGGGCTGAGGAGTTTAGTTTTCAACTGTACGTTCCTTGCTGCATCCTGGTACTTAGAAAAGTAGCATATTCTCACATACTGCAGTGATTGTTAGTTTTTATTCAGCAGGTACACACTTGCTTGGAACCATTGTACTTCCTTTCTTCTCTCTTCCTGGCATGTTTTCACTGCTTTTCATCTGGCAGGTCTCAGCTCAAACGTTACTTAGCAACCCCCACCCCATCCCGTGTAGCTTTAAACATTTATTTAATAAACACTTAACATAGCATTTAACGTGCCAGGTACATCTAGACACGTTACCAATATTTAACTCACAACAGCCCTATGGGGAAGGGTTATTCTGATTTCCATTTTACAGATGGAAATGCTGAGGCACAGAAAGATTAAATAACTTGCTCAAGGTCAAACAGCTTAGGCTGCAGCCACACTCAAACCTCAGTGGACTAGCTTCAAAGTCTATATGCTTAACCAGCGTACTGTGTTGTGTATCACGTTACCTTACTTACTCAGACAGGGTCCTGTCAAGGTCCTCCTCCCATCTTTGCAAATAAAGTTTTATTAGAGCACAGCCCCCCTTTCCTCTAGCATAGCTATGGCTGCTTTCCTGCTAAAGGCCCTGTTGAGGAGTTGTCTCAAACACTGCCTGGCCTGCAAAGCCAAAAATATTTACTACCTGGCCCTTTCCAGAAAAAGTTTGCCAGCCCTCGGTTTATTTGATTCACAGCCTTTGTCATCATCTGAAGTTATTTATTTGATTGTTTATGTCTACTCCACTAGCTTGTAAGCTCCGTGAGAGCAGGGGTCCTTCCTGCTTTGTTCACCTCTGTATACCCAGCTCCCAACACAGTGCCTGGCAAATAACAAGTGCACAATCAATATTTGTAGAGTAAAGGAACATTATTCAGTGAAATAGCGAAGTTCACTGTAATTGTGCTTAGCCCTTGAGCCTTTGGCTTTGAAAGGATATGTCTTAATGAGGATGTTGTCAATTTGACCTTTAGGTTTGGAGGTTGCTATGTTCATGCTGCTTGTCTTTGGAGCATTGCTTCATGAAGTTCCCCTGAGTGGCCAAGACGAGGTTCCTCCCCAGGCTGATGGCATTCTGGGTGCTCCTCTGTTCAACTATGCCAGCCTCCGCCTGCCAGAAGAGCATATTCCCTTCTTTTTGCACAATAATAGGCATATTGCCATGGTCTGTAAGAAAGACTCGCATTGTCCTTATAAGGTAAATACTATTCTCTTCTTGTATATTTTTAAAAGGAAGCAATTTAGGCTGGTTCACTAGTTCCTCATTGTAACTTGAACCTGAAAGTAGACTTCAGTCTCTTGGTTGTAACTGTGGGTCAGTCAGTGTCTGTATTTCATCTAATGCTTCTTAGTGACTCAACTTTGCTAAGAATTATGTCCCACTCACAAAGGTGAGATTTTTAAATCTAAATCACTAGTGAAATAAATAGGCAGCCTGTACTATTTGTATACTCTGTAAATGAAGTGAATTAGATTTGATGCAGAAAAGAATATCTAGTTAAAAGTAACTGGAGAATTTTTCACACCTCTCCTTAATCTGCACTTCAGAGGATCTCTCAGCACTTCATTTTGGTAATAACACCTCCACCTCTGTCTCCAAGTAATGAAGACTATTACTGCAGCCTTCCTTCTGTTTTAGTTGTTGGAAAGGTTTCAGATTGGAGCCCATTCAGACATCTCAGGGGCCTCAGAGATCAAAGCAGGGCATTGTGAGCCATTTCCTTTCCCATGGTGCTGGCACAGGAAGCATGCGGAGAGGCAGGGCTGGGAATCAGATCAGGACTGCTCCTGGGGCCTCGCAGAACAGCATCCTAAGCTTCCTGGCCGGCAGCAGCTGCTGTATCCCGCAAGGGCTGCAGAGCTGTGACATCTTCCGGGATCTCTGCTGATCTCGATTGATGAGTAAAGCTGCTGGTCCCTTCGGTTTAGTTGTGATTCTTCTGGTGATAGAAATTCCAATTTTTGTGACTCTCTAGGGACTGATTTTAGGATCAGTTTCCTCACTGATTTCATTAAGCTACTTCAAGAAACTCCAATTCAGGGGAGGAGGTTAGGGGAGGGATGGAGTGGGAGGTTGGGGTCAGCAGATGTAAGCTTTTATATATAGAATGGATACATAAGGTCTTACTGTAGAGCAGAGAACTATATTCAGTATCCTATGGTAAATCATGATGGAAAAGAATAAATAAAAAAAAGGATGTGGGTGTATATATATATATATATATATATATGTATAATTGAATCACTTTGCTGTATGGCAGTAATTAACACAACATTGTAAATCAACTATATTTCATTTAAAAATTAATTAAGTTAAAAAAACGGCAATTCAAATGATCTGTGGTAGTCTAGCTAAAACCCGGATTTTTGGTGGGAGGACAGGCCTGGTGGGGGAGGGGTTGGTGATTAAGGATAATTGTTGTTAAGAAACTTGAGACTGCTTTTTTTAGAATTTACTTATTTCTATTACATGAATAAGTATTATAAAACATGAAGGTGAAAGTTCTATAAAAATTTGTTTTCCTCATGGAAAAAAATCTGAGTCCTCTCTAAATGTCAGAAGAAGGTAGACAAGTCTAAACATATACCTCTTATGTTCCAGAAACACTTAGAAAATTTAAAGTACTGCTGGGGTTATGAGAAATCCTGCAGACCAGAGTTCAGGTTTAGTTACCCTGTTTGCACCTACGTGGATATGGGATGGTAAGTTTCTGGATGGAATACCTCTTCCCCTGTACTTTGTCTACTTTCTCTGCAGTGTATGCTGAGGCTCCAATCCCCAGCTAGACTCTTTTGGTATTAGATAGTAATTCCTTTAGATATTAATTTGCTTACACAGTCATGAGTTCAACTTGACTGTCTCCCACTGGGACAGGAATAGCTCTCATTTCCTCTGCCAGAGAGAGAAAACAGTATGGATCACAGAAAATAATTTCCCCCAGCATATGCTAAGAAGATAAATGGATGGTTTCTCTTGGTTCTGGAGAAGAGAGTTAAGTATAATCAGTATTTCCAACACACGCAAGGTTCACGGGGTAAAGAAAATACAGTAATTAACAGTTCATTGTCTTCAGTTCCAGATGATCCTAACTTCATACCTTTCCGTTTTGTATTTTTATTATAAGGGAGTAAGTCTATAAATAACTTATTTTGCTTACATCATGTGGTGAGGGATAGATTTTTAAATTATGATAGTTTACTTAAAAAAAATAATGACTGACTTCTAGCAATTTAACACTTAGAAAGAAAATTTAAGGTCCAGAAAAAGTAAAAAGATGAATATCACAGAATTTTTTGTTTTCTAACAGGACGGACACTCTTGAATCAGCCCAGGAAATATTCTGGAAGCAAGCTGACTTTGGGTATTCCGGAGAGCGGCTGGAGGAACTCCACGTGCTCTGCCAGCCGAAGGGAATGGTGGGTGTTTAACCCCTTCATAAACGAGTGTGTTTATTCAGAAACACCCGTAGTATTTATTTATTCATTTATTTATTGAAGCATAGTTGATGTACAATATTATATAAGTTACAGATATACAATATAGTGATTCACATTCACACTTTTTTTTTTTTTTTTTTTTGCTGTATGTGGGCCTCTCACTGTTGTGGCCTCTCCCGTTGCAGAGCACAGGCTCCGGACGCGCAGGCTCAGCGGCCATGGCTCACGGGCCCAGCCGCTCCGCGGCACGTGGGATCTTCCCGGACCTGGGCACGAACCCATGTCCCCTGCATCAGCAGGTGGACTCTCAACCACTGTGCCACCAGGGAAGCCCACACAGTCACACTTTTAAAAGTTATATTCCATTTTTAGTTATTATAAAATATTGGCTATATTCCCTGTGTTGTACAAGATATCCTTATAGCTTATTTTATACGTAATAATTTGTATCTCTTAATCCCCTACACTCATAGTGGTTCGATCATAATATAAAGACAAGATAGATGGCACTATGAAAGGAATCCCTCCCTCTCTGGTCCAGTGGCATCGGTAATACCTGCCCTGCCTATCTGCTATAGTGTTTGTGAGAATCAAGCCAGCAAACATACAGAAAAGCGTTTTGCAAGCTGCAAAGTGCTAACAAACACAGCATGGTGAGGGTGTATCACGTGTCCCAAACTACTTGCAAGGGCATTTATAAAGATGTAATTTATCAACCTATCTTCTTTAGTATATGTTGGGGGGAATAATTCTAAACCCAGAAATATTTTAATTGCCTCAAACTATGACTATCTGATATGTTTGAAAGGAGGACATGGCTTCCAACTGCTTTCAAAACTGAATAGATGCTGTATAGTGCTTTTGGAGGGTGTCACGTGAAAGAACTTCAAGCGATTCTAGCAAGGTGGCTGAACCGGAAGATGGAGGCAAGGCATTAACCTGCACTGCTGAGGGGTGTCTTTAACAGATGACATTTTACACTTTGTTTGGAGTTTAGCTGTTCATGTGGAAAGGGCAGGGAAGGGCCCCACCTCCACCTCACACACCTCTTCCAAGGCGGTTTGCAGAATGCTTTCCTCACCAAGATCTGCCTTGTTAGGTTTTGTGCTATGGGTATGACTCCTTAGCAACTCCAGATTCCAAAACACCATTCAGGGACTTCCCTGGTGGCACAGTGGTTAAGAATCCGCCTGCCAATGCAGGGGACACGGGTTCAAACCCTGGTTCGGGAAGATCCCACATTGCCACGGAGCAACTAAGCCCGTGCACCACAACTACTGAACCTGCGCTGTAGAGCCCGCGAGCCACAACTACTGAAGTCTGTGCACCTAGAGCCCGCGCTCCTTAATGGAAGAGGCCACCGCAATGAGAAGCCTGCGCACTGCAACGAAGAGTAGCCCCTGCTCACCACAACGAGAGAAAGCCTGCGCAGGAACGAAGACCCAATGCAGCCCAAAATAAAAATAAATAAAATTGTAAAAACAAACAAAAACTCCTTTACCTCAGTGAGTTAGAAAACATGGCTCTCACGCTGCCGTGGAGACAGAGACTCTCACAGGTTTTAAGGTTTGCAGAAAGTACCTCTGATTCAAATTGGCAAACTGCCCTTCCTGCCTTGCATTTTAATGACTCTGACGGGTGCATTCTTCCTTGTTTCCTTTGGCTGGTCTTTGGAAGATGCTTTTTGACATAGCTGTGGGGTTAGTGAGGGTTCTGAGTGCATTATTTTTTTTCCAGGAGGGTGAAATGAACCACAAATACAGCTGCTGACTCTCTAAAGTTTGAAGGTGATAGAACATTTAAGGGTGCGTCGTAGTAACCTAAAAGTGTGCAAATTGGTAAAAGTATGCTTGGCCAGTGTCTGCCGGGGAAAACAGAAGTGGTCATCGGGAAGCACTTTTCATCACATTGTGTGGTTGGAACCTGAAGGCAACATGCTGTCAGCATGATGTCAGACAAGTCCGGTCTGTCCTGGAATTGTTAATAATCGCAGTTATTTTTTTCTTATTTCTCAACCTTATTTCAGAATGACTCAAGTCTAGTGTGTTCCCGTTACCTTCAGTACTGCAGAGCGACCAATCTCTACCTTGATTTAAGAAACATCAAGAGAAACCACGACAGGTACTTCAGTGGGAGATGTTAAGATCTAAGGGAAATCCTGAAATATTTGCAGTTTCAGGATTTGCAAGCCTTGGATTTGCTTCCTAATAATATGGTGATGAGGTTGGGGAATGGGGGAGGGGATGAATGACCCACATTGGTCATAATGAGTTGATCATTATGAAACTGGGTGATGGGTACATTAGATTCCTTATACCATTTTGCTACTTTTTTGTATGTTTGAAATATTCTATTATAAAGAGTTAACTTCTAATGAAAAACTGATTTTGGAAATTGGCAAACCACTTTAGTTACAACCCACGTGTCAGAGTCATGAAAAAATTTTCCAAGCTCAACTTAGTTTTTTGTTGTACACCAGATTTAAGGAAGATTTTTTCCAGAGCGGGGAAATTGGAGGACACTGTAAACTTGACATTCGTATGTTGATGTCTCAAGGCCAGCGCAAAAGCCCTTTGCAGTCTTGGTAAGATTTTTTTTTTGGAAAATATGTTTCTGAAATATTTGTCTTTATTATTGGTACTTGCAGATTTTGGTAGGGATTCTCACATGGAAAATGTTACTCTATTTGTAGATAATTTGGCCTGAGCTTCTGGGGAGTGGTGGCTACAGAGTGAATCATCAGTTGTATCCGAATTAAATATATATTTATAAAATATTCGGAAGTATGATATAGTACTTACTATTTGCTAATGAAAGAAAAAAGTTCAAAACTGAATTTTTTTAACTCATAATTTCTGCATGTGTTTTGGGGAACATTTTTAAAAAATATACATTTATTGAAGTACATACCAAGCATATAGAGAAATATACAGTTTGGATTATGAAAAAGTGAACCCACTTGAGTAACTCTTACCTGGGTCAAAAATAGACCATCATCCACCCAGGCTCCCTTCCAGACACAACCTGCATCCTCCTTTCCAAAGGTAAACACTACCCTGACTTTAAGCACCTTTGAGAAGCTTTTTGAACTTTATGTAAAGATTGGAGAACACATTTTGATTTAAAACATTTTGAATACTAAACTAGTTCTGTCAAGAAATTTACCATCTTTAGATATTAAAGAGTTAGGGTACTTTAAAAGCTTTTTATTTTAAGATAACTTGAGATTTGTAGACATTTAAAAATAGTTTAAAGATGGTACAAGAAGTTTAAAAATAGTACAAGGAGTTTCCATTGTATCCTTACCCCAGCTTCCTCTAATGATAACATCTTACATAACCATAGCACAATGATGCAAACCAGGAAATTGACATTGGTACAATATTATTAACTAAACACATTTGGATTTCATCAATGGTTACATGCATTCTTTATTTTTTAGGGGGATGTATAGCTCTATAAAATTTATATCATATGCTTAGGTACATGTAACCACTATTACAATCATGCTACAGAACTGTTCTGTCATCCTAGAAATTGTCATGCTCCCCTTTACAGTCACACAGGACACTCATATAATGTTTATTTTTTCCTTTTTATTGAGGTATTGTTGATATACAATATTATATAAGTTTCAGGTATGTAACATAGGGATTCACAGTTTTTAAAGGTTATACTCCATTCATAGGTACTATAAAATATTGGCTGTATTCCCTCTGTTGTACAATATATCCTTGTAGCTTATTTATTTTATACCTAATTGTTTGAACCTCTTAGGCTGTATTCCCTCTGTTGTACAATATGTCCTTGTAGCTTATTTATTTTATACCTAATTGTTTGAACCTCTTAATCCCCTACCCTTGTCTTGCCCCTCCGCAATTCCCTCTCCCCATTGGTAACTGCTGCACCAGTTTACGTTCCCGGCAACGGTGTATGAGGGTTCCCTTTGCACCACATCCTTGCCAACATTTGTTATTTGTGTTTTTTTGGTGATAGCTATTCTGACAGGTGTGGTTTTGATTTGCATTTCCCTAATGATTAGCGATGTTGAGCATCTTTTCATGTGCCTGTTGGCTCTCTGCATGTCTTCTTTGGAAAAATGTCTACTCAGTTCTTTTGCCCATCTTTTAATGGAGTTGTTTGTTTTTTTGATGTTGAATTGTATGAGCTCTTTACATATTTTGGATATTAACCTCTTATCTGTCATATCATTTGCAAATATAGTCTCCCATTCTGTAGGTTGTCTTTTCATTTCGTCAACTGTTTCCTTTTCTTACAACTACTTTTAAGTTTACTTAGGTCCTGGGACTTCCCTTGTAGTCCAGTAGTTAAGACTCCATGCTTCCACTGCAGGGAACACGGGTTTGATTCCTGGTCAGGGAACTAAGTTCCCACATGCCGCACCACTTGGAGTGGCCAAAAAAAAAAAAAAAGTTTACTTAGGTCCTATTTGTTTATTTTTGCTTTTATTTCCTTTGCTTTAGGAAACAGATCAAAAAAAATATTGCTATGATTTATGTCAAAGAGAGTTCATTTTTGAGGTCAAACATTCATGCTAGGACTTCCCTGGTGGCGCAGTGGTTGGGAGTCTGCCTGCCGATGCAGGGGACACGGGTTCGTGCCCCGGTCCGGGAAGATCCCACATGCCGCGGAGCGGCTGGGCCCGTGAGCCATGGCCGCTGAGCCTGCGCGTCCGGAGCCTGTGCTCCGCAACGGGAGAGGCCACAGCAGTGAGAGGCCTGCGTACTGCAAAAAACAAAACAAAACAAAAACATTCATGCTAAGTAAACCATTCAAGATAACAGTCTATCATTTTACTCTCTGCAAAGCAGGATCTTACTTGACTTAACAGACTTTTGCAGTAGGAGTTCCTGTTTTCTCGTGGGCATTTTGATTCCTAGCACACTTTGATATCTGAGATCCAAAATAAATGTTTGATATTTGCTTCCCGCTACCTTTTGATATCATGATAGTTCCCTAGGGTGTATTTGTATTAGTTATTGCTGTATAATAAATTACTCAGACATTTAGCAGCTTAAAACGATAAACATTTATTATCTCATGAAGTTTCTGATAGCCAGGATTTGGAGGCAGCTTAGCTGGGTGGCTCTAGCCAGGGTCTCCGAGGAGGCTGCAGTCAAGCTGTTGACCAGGGCTGTGGCCCTCTCTAGGCTCAGTTGGGCCTGCAGAATCTGCTTCCTAAGCTCGCATGTCATCTGTGGGTTTTCTTGTCTGGCTGTTGGCCAGAGGTGTCATTTCTTTACCATATGCGCCTCTCCGTAGGGCTACTGACAGCATGGCAGCCAGCTTCCCCAAGAGCATGTTGTCTGAGAAAGAGAGAGAGCGAGAGGGAAAAAGAGAGAGAGAGAGAGAGCACAAGCATGTCCCAAGATGGAGGCCTCGATCTTTGTATATCCTAATCTAGGAAGTGACCACCATCACTTCTGCCATATTCTGCTCATTAGAAGTGAATCACTAGGGCTGCCCTGGTGGCACAGTGGTTAAGAATCCGCCTGCCAATACAGGGGACATGGGTTCAAGCCCTGGTCTGGGAAGATGCCACATGCCGCGGAGCAACTAAGCCCGTGCGCCGCAACTACTGAGCCTGCACTCTAGAGTTCGCGAGCCACAACTACTGAGCCCACGAGCCACGACTACTGAAGCCTGCGTGCCTAGAGCCTGTGCTCTGCAACAAGAGAAGCCACCACAATGAGAAGCCTGTGCACCGCAACAGAGAGTAGCCCCCACTCGCCACAACTAGAGAAAGCCCGTGAGCAGCAGCAACAAAGACCCAGTGCAGCCAAAAATAAATAAATTAAAAAAAAAAAAAAAGAAGTGAATCACTAAGTCCAACTCACCCTCCAGGGGAGGATATTCATCTCTACCTCCTGAAGGAAGAAGTATCACAGAATTTGTGGACCTGATTTTGAAGCCACTACAATAAATATTTCAGCATTATGTGTGTTTTAAAAGGCTCTATTTGATATTTATCTTACCTCAGACATGGTCTCAAAGATGAAGAGTTACAGCAATCTTTAGGTTAACTTGTGATTGTCTTCTTTTGTATGAAAGAAAATTGTACCAAGTGGCTTCCAAAGTTGTTTTCCGAGAAACAGACTTTCCTTTCCTCTGGGAAGCATAGCTGTCTGCTGGTTTTTTCTAGGCACTTGGTAATTCTAGGAATGCCATGTTTCTCAGAATCCAAGCAAGTTCTCTGGGTCAGTGTTACTTCTGAGCCTCGTCAGACTGCAAGAAACCTTTTTAAATCTTCCCACTTTACTGGTAGATTTTTTGGTCAACTCTATGTGTAAATTTTTTCTTTGTCAGCAAAGTTCCCAGTTGGTCTTGCACATTAGGCTGAAATTTAAAATCATTTTTGCTTTTAGTCTCAACATTAAGATTGATATCAAGTTGCGTAAATGTTAGTAAGTTTGAGAAGTTCCACATGTCTTTATAAGAGTGTTTTCTAGAAATAAAATCTGCTTAATGAAAAGATCCTAAGTTACAAGGTTTCAGTAGGACGTCCAGGAGGATCCCTTTGAAAGTATCTCTTGATTCTTAATTCCAGGTTTGCTGAGCTACAAAGCTATACTCAGCTCAACTTCAGACCAGTAGAAGATGCTAAGTGTGACATTGTTATTGAGAAACCAACCTACTTCATGAAATTAGATGCAGGTGAGAAGTTAATTTGTCTGTTATTTATTTATTGGTTAATGTGGTTTTGTTCCTTTTTTTGATATATATATATTCCTATAATTTGGGGGCAAGCAATGTGACATTAAACAATAGATTAGCTTTTTGCTTTCTTGTGAAGAAGTGAACTAATTTGAACTTCCCACTGTTTTATATTTTTGGCACGCTAGAAGAAACTTTCACATTGATATCAAATGACTCAATCAAAATCAAAAGATGAGAGGAGAAAGACTGGGTACCCCTTTTGTAACTACATTTACCTCATGTGGTTTCTTTAATCGCTTGACTTAGCTGGTGCTTCGGTAGAACTCTTTAAATTTAAAAGCCATGTATATAGTGCAGGTGGGAAAGGAAGGCCCATGACATCTTCTGGCAAACTTTTTGGTATCATCTCCATGACTAAAGTTAACTTAAAATTCTTTTGGAAGTTAGCTCTGCCATATATTCTTTTTTTTTTTTTTTTTGTGGTACGCAGGCCTCTCACTGTTGTGGCCTCTCCCGTTGCTGAGCACGGGCTCCAGACGCGCAGGCTCAGCGGCCATGGCTCACGGGCCCAGCCGCTCTGCGGCATGTGGGATCCTCCCGGACCGGGGCATGAACCCGTGTCCCCTGCATTGGCAGGCGGGCTCTTAACCACTGTGCCACCAGGGAAGCCCTGCCATATATTCTTGAACAAAAAGTTAAAATTATTTTCCTATTTAAGGTTATAGCTTCTAATTCTCCACATGCAAGCACAGCTTATGCTTTGTGAACTCATTGCCCTCGAGGGGAGCAACACAAATCGTACTCCTTTATCTCTCTCATTACAAGAGATGGAGGTTTCTATGCCACAGCACATTCAAATTCATGAGAGGCTGGGCTCAAGGTGAAATATAGAGAGCCGCCTGTCACAAATATTTCAGAATTCCTCTAATTTATTGATCATATTTTGAATGTGCTCTGCCTTCTGAAGTCCTAAGTGATATATTACAAGCTATGAGGTTCAGAAATCAGACAAGTTTAGGTTTCGGAAATGAGAGCAGGTAAAACTGCTGTGTTCAAGGTCCTGACTCATGTTTAAAATATGCAGATTCAAATGGGGCAAAGAAAACACTGATCTGCCTGAAAACGGGTTGGACACGTGCGAACAGTTAAATTTATGTAGCTACTTATGCAATAAAGGATGTAAAGTAGGAACAATAGGCCAGGGTAGACATGTGTCATTTCTTTCCTATATTCATAACTCTGCCTTTTTCTTCTACCTTACGCTGTCATGCAGCGTTCCTTTTCATGTTAACTCTTACCTTGAGAGAATGAGTATTCCGCAGAACAAGACTCATTTGGGGCCCATTTCTTGAGGACAGAGCCTGTGTTTTCTCCCTCTTTTATAAATCCTCCTGGTACCAAGTGCCATCTTGTGCATTCAGCATCCCTCAATAAATGTTATAAACTTGCTGAACGATTCATGAGACAGCTAACGTGTACTGTGTGCTAACCTGGGAAAAGGGGATGGGTTGCCGTAGAACTTTCTTTTTCTTATTTATTTGAAAATACGCTCTTTGGCAAGATTTTTCTGGGTGAAAGAGAAAAGTTCCTCTAAACATTCATCTAAGATACCAGTCTACAAAGAATGGAGTATTATTTTCCTTTTTCTTGTCTTTGTTGAGATATAATTGATGTCCAGCACTTTATACGTTAAAGGTGTGTAGCATAATGGCCTGACTTTCATAAATGGAGTCCTTTTTACTCTTATTTTCTGGCACACGACGTTATTATTCGCTCTAGGAATGAAGTCAGAATATTTTATGATTTTTGCTTTTGAGAGTCACTGTTTTTCTTTTAATCAACATTTTCCCTTCCTTAAAGTGCATATTTTAAATGTTAGTTCTTGGAATTTTATCCCATTTAGATTTGTACATTTCCAGGTTGAATACTGGGTCCTCCATACCTAAGTGGAGAGAGAAAGAGAAAGGGGAGAGAGAGAGGGCAGAAGACAGAGAGAGAGAGAGAGAGACTGAGAAAGAGAAAGAGAGAGAGAGAGAGATTGAGAAAATGTTCAGTTTCTTATGAATGCTGGACTTAGGAACTTAAAAATAGCATCACTGCCCTCCCCTTTCCTCTGACCCAGCAGGATCCAGCTGGTGTTCACTAAGTTTTCACTTTGTGCCAGGCGCTGGGCTGGGTACTTTAGGTACATTACCTAAAAGCTGGCACCTAAGTATATTGATTTCCTATTTCTGGTGGGAAAGCTCAAGCTTTGGAATTTACAAACTTGCCTGAGTACTTGCTCATAATTCGACTCAGTTCTTCTGACTCCAGAGTTTATGCTCTTTTAATTAGGACATGAGACATTCAGCTCTTTTCAATGATAGTTGGTTAATGTTTTCCCAAGAAGCAATATAAGTAGTGATTAAATAGGAGAAAAAGAGACAGGAATGAAAAATACCAAAATGCTAATAGTGCCATCATTGTCAATACTTCCATGATGACCAGGTGTCAATTGATTTAAAAACAATAAATGATCATAAACATAGTGATTAGTCTTCACGGTTCTGTAGTTCTACCCATATTGAGTTAAATAGGCGTCTGTTATTTTTTCTGGGAACGTAATGATCATTTGTTTCTTAGTGTATATGGGAAACTTTATTCCTAATTTCCAATTTGAAAGTGAATTTTTGAACACAGTGAATCTTTCAACTGAGAACTACCTGTGTACTGATCATTTGAGGTTTGGAAAAAGTCTTAATTTTCCCCCCACCGGTTTCAGCTACAAGTCTATCATGCTATAAGTAGATGGGGTAGAATAAAAATTGTGTAATCGTTTGTTCTTTGGGGTTAATTAACATGGATTTCTTTTTTCCAATCCCAGGTGTTAACATGTATCACCACTTCTGTGATTTCATCAATCTTTATATTACTCAGCACATTAATAATTCCTTCAGCACAGATGTGCACGTTGTGATGTGGGACACGGTAAGTAAAAACAGGCTCCCTGCTTCAGCGCTGTCTTTGCCTTGCTTAATACCTGCGTGACTCTGATCCTGTGTAGTGGAATTTTCTAAGACACACACATTTACATATACTCATGTACAGACATCCATCCATGCGTGTGCAGTTGTGTGTGAACGCCTCTGTGTGGCTGAATTTACATGTAAGTATAATATATGGGCAGATTCAGGTGTATGCATATACCTTTATTCCTGGAATTTTAGAATGTTGTAGAAGATTTCTTTCCCCCTTTGGGCAGGTGGAGCTCAAGTTTCCTCTGAGATGGGCATAAAAGACTGTCATTCACTTAACCTCCGTGACTCCCCACATGACCCGTGAGAGGAGAGCTTGCCTCTGTTTACAGTTTGGCCTCTTGTAATTACCATCCGTTTTGCTTCATTGCAGCTTCCTTGTTAGTTCCTGCTTTATGCCAGGTTGTGCCATGTGTATCTGCACATAAATACACATGTTGAATCCCACCTGCTGTGGGCTTATTTGTTTTTAGTCTTTATGGCAGTCTTTTCTTCCTTCCTCTCTTTCTTTGCCTGCCTTTCCCCTGCTTTTCCCCATAGCTGGCCCCTCCACCGTCCCAGGTAACCTCGGGGAGTTGCCCCAGTGCTCTCACCTGTGAAATGGGATTATTACAGTGTCATTTTGAGGATGAAGCATACCGTGTGCGAACAGTCACAATGCCTGGTCCACAGCACATGGGCTCTGAATGTGAACCATGACAGCGACAGTGGGCAGGAGAACACGTGGTGTATAGTGTACACGAAAAAGGCTGCCTAACCTGGGCAGTGAGAACACCCACGGAGAACTCATCTCAGGGTTAGCCAGACATTCCAACACCCAGGGCGCTTATAGGCCCCCTTCTTGTCCTGAGTCTGTTTGGAAGGCTAGTGCATGGGAACCATGGCTTGCTGGCAGGGCAGCATCAGGCATTGCTTCCGGGGAGTCCTAGCAGCCCACATAGCACAGTTCAGATGCAAGGAGACGGGATCCACCTGGGGCAGGTATAGATCCCATGGGGGCCAATATCTTCTGGAACAACTGCGTTGGCCAAGCCCCCAGGATCCTGAGAGACACAACCAGTTACAGGAGTCCTTGTACTCTTTCCCAGTCCACATGCAATGGAACCATCGGGTGTCTTTTAGAATTATAAACAGTGCTACTTAGAGCATAGGGGAGACGTACTGTCTTGTTTCCAGAGAGCAGAGCTAGAGCATTAACTGAACGTCAGGTTCTTGTGCAGAAGGGCAACTGATTTTGCTAATGCTTGTTCTGCTGATAGGAGGATGGTAGCGGAGCTGTGTGGAGAGGTTTTCATGACCATGGCTCCCTAGGCGGGTAGTAGTTTGACTTCATGTCTGATTGATGGGAACGGGTTCTGATATTCCTGGCATGCTAACGCTCCCTTGTAGTCTCCTTCTTTGTACGGATTTGCGTTTCCCTCTTGTGTTCCAGTTTTGCTGCCACCTCAGTTCCATTTCTTGGCAATGTTTCAGGGAGCAAAGGGATCAGGAGTTCCTTTCCTTTCCTCTTTTTGCGTAAGATTGTGGCTTCCAGGCCACGTTACCAGCTATGGGCAGCTCTCATTTAGTGCGCACAACCCTCCGTGGACTAGGGTTTTTGTTCCTTTATTTTACAGATGAGGAAGCTGAGGCGCTGAGTGGCAGGCCGTGTCTCTAGGATGACACAGTCAGCCAGGGGTTGAGACAAGGGTGCCCGTCCAGGCAGTCTGCCCCCAGACCTGTGCCCTGCAACCACAGTGCTTTATCGCCTCCCTGTCCTTCCCTGCAGAACTTGTTAAGTTGATGGAAAGTTTTCCAGAAGCTTCCTTGTATCTTGTTGCATGCTTTTCCGTGGCTTCCTCTAGTGGATTGAGTTAAACCGAGCCAGCTTCTACAGACTCCCCCTTCTTGGTGCCTGCTGGGGTGGAGGGAAGAGACCGCATGGCCACCACGGGGCTCCCTGGTTGCTCAGTTTACTGAGTGTGTGATGTTAGTGCAGCCTGACCTCGACTGCCCTGGACATGCAGGATGCTTTTAGCCGAGCAGGTTGGCCTGCCTGGTGTGACCTCCCTCCTCTGCCCCTCTCTGTGCGTCCATTTTAAACCTGTTTTCTTGGTCAGAGAGGCCTTTGCTAGTTGCTCAGTCATAGTCTCAGGACAGGCGAGGGCCAGTTTGTTCCAGAGCTGAGGCCCACAGAATCCTGTAGGTTGGATGGGGATGGTGGTGAGGTGTTGTGTCGCCGCCAACCGGTTCTCTTTGGCTGGTGAGGCACTGAAGGAAGCAACCCTGCCTCCCCGAGGCTGACGGAGCTTCAAACCTCCCACGGTGGACGGTGTTGCCATAGAGCCAGTCCTGAAGGCCTCGGACGAGCTGTGCGCCCAGGGGAAGAACAGGGAGGTGGCAGTGGCCGCAGGTCAGACCCTAGTGACATTTTACGAACTGTCCCACAAGGAAGCCTCTGAGGCCTCCTCCTCTCGTCCACAGGAAGCTCAGCAGTCTGGCTGCCCTTCAGGCACGTGGCTTCCTCGGCAGGATTGGGCAGGGCCTCCACCCTCGAGCCATATGCAATGAGGGACACTCCTGCAGACGCATTTCTGGGCACAGCAGGGTTGCACACAAGAAACAGTAGTATAGCTTTATTATTGCCATTTTTAAATTATGCAAGTAAGACCAGGTTATAATGAGTTCAAACAACACAGAAGTATGTTAAGTTAAAAATAAATTCTCCGTTGTCTTCTCCAATTCCATTTCCCTTGAAGGTAACTGCGGTTAACGTGTGTGAGAGTCCCTTGGGAGACTTTATTTTAATAAGTGTAAATATATCCTTTTACAACATTTAGGTAAGGATTTATATAAGGATATATATATTATGTAAAATTTGTATAAGGGTATGTTTATATCCTTATAGAAAATAAAGTGTGTTCTCTTATGTTGCTAACTTAATATTATACGGCGGGCATCTTTCCAAGTCAGCACATGCAGGATTATCATTTCTTTAGTGGTTGCATGCTATTCCACTTGCTGGATGTCATGGATGTCTGGTGGAAGCCTTAATGTGTGTATTTACCTCTGTCCCCACCCTGATCACATTTAATTTGTTTCCAGTTCTTTGCTCTTTACGGAAATGCTGTCCTGAACATCCTTTTCATATACATATGTTCTTTACATAGTCATCCTAGCATTTCTGCAGGGCAGATTCCTATAACTGGAATTTCTAAGTCATAGGTTGTTCAAGTTTGAGATATACACAACAGGAAATGTTATGTCATCTTTAAGAATATCCAGATATTCTTCATCATAAGACTGGAAAACCCCTCCTTCGCCTGTGGCAGATAATTTGAATTTCAGGGACTTCTAGAGAAGAAGCTTCTAGAGGTGGTTATTACTGAATACTACATGATTTCTCTGAAAAGGGACCAGTCAGGATTACTTTATTTTATTATTAAATTTTCCTTTCAAAGGTATCTTATTTTATCCCAAGTATTTTTTTCTCAGGAAACTGTCTAGAATCACTTCTTTTAATTGTCCTTTATTTATTATTGAACCAAAACTGGGACATTCAATTTTTGATGGTGTTGAGAAGGGCCTTTATCAGAACAGCACTGGAGAAACATCGAAGGAAAGAATTTTTATTTTTTATCACCACATCTAACAGTTCTCAGTAACTTTGAAATAACTCTAATATGTGCAACATAAAATTTTCAAAATCTGAAAAAAAAGAATGCTGTAAAGATAAAAAGACATGGACATAATGAACGCCATGTATAACCAACTGTAGACCTTGAATGTAACCCTACAATACGTATTTCTTTCTTCTTTCGGCGGAATTTTTCCATCTAAGTTCTACCATTTCGAAATAAATGGACCTCCTTCCTTCAGCTGATGGAGCACGTAATTAATTTCTACTTTTCAAAAATGAAATGCATTTGGTAAATGTGCCAGAAAAACTGGTTCTCATCGAAAGGCAATTGCCATATAGGGGTTACAAGAATGGAGTCTGGAACCAAAGAGACTGGATTTAATCCCAGCCCTGTAAACGCAGCAGTTCTACAGTTGAGGCAAATTACTTAAACTTTGTCTCAGTTTCCTCATCTGTGAAATGTGGACAATGGTATTCCCTCGCTCATTAAGTTAGTGGGGTGGTTTAATGTGTTAATAATGTCAAGTTCTTAGAATAGTGCCTGAGATGTAGGAAGTATGCAGGATACTATTAATGTTATTATTATTGGGACTTCCCTGGTGGCACAGTGGTTAAGAATCCGCCTGCCAATTCAGGGGACATGGGTTCGAGCCCTGGTCTGGGAAGATCCCACATGCCATGGAACTACAAAGCCCGTGAGCCACAACTACTGAGCCCATGTGCCACAACTACTGAAGCCCGTGTGCCTAGAGCCCGTGATCGGCAACAAGAGAAGCCACCGCAATGAGAAGCCCGTGCACCACAACGAAGAGTAGCCCCTGCTCGCCGCAACTAGAGAAAGCCCATGTGCAGCAACGAAAACCCAACGCAGCCAATAAATAAATAAATTTTAGAAGTATATTATTATTATTACTACTCATTAATGTCAATGGGGAATTATGTTATTCATTAATCAATAGGGACATCATTTCCTAGAGTTACATTCATTATGTTTCTTTTTTAATAAACTTACAAAGGGTCTAATCAGTTTTTTTTTGTTTTTTTTCTATTAATTAATTCATTTATTTATTTCTGCCTGTGTTGGGTCTTCGTTTCTGTGCGAGGGCTTTCTCTAGTTGCGGCAAGCGGGGGCCACTCTTCATCACGGTGCGCGCGCCTCTCAGTATCGTGGCCTCTCTTGTTGCGGAGCACAGGCTCCGGACGCGCAGGCTCAGTAGTTGTGGCTCACGGGCCTAGTTGCTCCGCAGCATGTGGGATCTTCCCAGACCAGGGCTCGAACCCGTGTCCCCTGCATTGGCAGGCAGATTCTCAACCTGCGCCACCAGGGAAGCCCCCATTATGTTTTTAATGTTAAAACTTTCAAGGCATTTTCTTGCTCTCAGATTTCTTTCCAAAAGTGCATTCTGTCTGCTCTGATGGGTTTTGCTCCCTGAGCATATCACAGTGTGTACAAAAGGTGGTGTACATATGTGTTGTGTGTGTCTGTGATTTGGATAGAAAATTCACGGGGGAAAACCCCCCACAATGACTGCAATTTTAAGGACATGAGAATAAAAAGGGCTAGGATGGAAAGCTAAGATTATAATTGTGGTGATTATTTCTGATGATATTACATCAGATTAGGGACTTGCTCAGGCCCAAGATGAAAATCCATTTTTTTTCTATGGGTTTTATGAGCTTATTTCGGATTGCTGGTTCTTAATACTAAGAAGCTAATTCAGCTATTTTCTCACATTTTTGAAAAGCCAAGTTTAGCCAAATTCCCTAACTTATTTTGTTTCCATTTTCAGAGCTCCTACGGATATGGTGACCTGTTCTCCGATACATGGAAAGCATTTACTGATTATGATGTTATACATTTGAAAACTTATGATTCCAAAAGGGTACTGGAAACTTTACTGAAATGTCTGTAAATAACTGTCATTACAGATGACCCACTCATCAAATAAATATTTAATCTGAGTTTGTATGAGCTATTACCATTGATTTCTAACTCAGTTTCTTTTGTAATAACTAGAATCATCATGGTTATTAACCATGTAGCTTTTAAAACCTTTTGTTCATAGCTTTTTCAGGAATATGAATTTCACTTGAGTGAAACAATTGGCTATGCAAAATATTTTGATGCAAAACAGAGATTAATTAAATTATTTTCTGTAATTATTTGTGCTGTTTTGGTGTGAAGGGTGCAAACTGTGTTCTCTTACCTTTTAAAATATCTTCATTCTTAGGTATGTTTTAAAGAAGCTGTTTTTTCCTTACTCCCCCGGATGAGGTACGGGCTGTTCTATAATACCCCTCTGGTAAGCATGTCATCTGTGGTTAACATTCCTGTTCAGAGAATTTATTCTTGATGGATTTTAAAATAACACATATAACTTGAGAACATCTTAAATAGTAATGCAGATATTATTCATTGTAATAGGAAATATTTTTTTATTTTAGATCTCTGGCTGTCAAAATACCGGATTATTCCGGGCATTTTCTCAGCATGTACTACACAGACTGAACATCCCACAAGAGGGTCCCAAGGTAATGACTACATTATGGGTTCTGAGGTGGTCTTGACTTTTCACCCCGAATAAAAATCAATACCAGCTTTGCAGAAAAAGGAGATCATCAGCAGACAGTGTTTTCTGGGTTGTTTTCTGACCTGGAGTGATTTGAAATCAGATGTCAACAACCGAGAAAATTTCCATAAACTAAAGATAGTGGAAGAATGTGTTTTTTTCTCTTTTTCTTTTCCTTTTCTTTTCCCTGTATCTCTCCATCCTTCCTCAAACCCCTACCCAGCCCACATAAACTCTGCCCCCAAATCCACCCACCCAACCAAAAAGAAGTAGTATGATGGACGGGTTTCGCCTTCTGTGGCTAAAGTGGAGGCATTTTTATCCCCTGAGAGAACTGTGAAGAAATCAGGCTAAAAAAAAAAAAAGTTTCATAAAGGTGTCCTTATGGAGTTTCATCTCTCGGTGAAAATCACATTTTAAGTTCATTTGTTCATTTATTTGTCCAGGCATACACAGCATTATTTTGCCTTTTCCACAGGATGGAAAAATTCGAGTCACCATTCTCGCACGGAGCACAGAATACCGGAAAATACTCAACCAAAATGAGGTTAGTTTTTGGGATGCATTTTTAATAGCGTCATATTGAATTTCACTTCCTATGACTGATGTGCTTTATTTTTTTCACATCATACTAAATGCTTTGATTTGAAATTATTAGCTTTTAGAAAAGTCTGATGGCTGTGCCCAGTTTATTTATTGGATTTCTACTGCAAGTCATCAAACCATCCACTGCTGAATGAGCTTTGCCTTACTGTAGACATTCATCACACCACCTCAGTGTGGAAACAGAGACAAAACTGCCTGAGTCCTGCCTTTGCGGCCATGGATTGCCAAATTTTTGGTCTCTGGGCAAACTAGCAGCAAAACAATGGGAGAGTATCTTTGGGGAGATGGCTGATGGACTGTGTGGCAGGACTGTGGCATCCAGCAGCAGATTAAGTTGGAAAAGTCTCCATCCTTTTCATGGGTGTCTTAGAAATTGTTCACCTCTTAGCCTCCCTGACTCATTTCAACAACATCAATTCATAAATTATACTTAATCTTAAGGAGATCACCATGGAAGCCTCCCTGCAACAGCATGACTGGACGATGTCCTTGCAATAGTAAGGTTTGCTCGAATGTGGATGGCCTCTAGAAGCTGGAAAAGGCAAGGATTCTCCCCTAGAGACTCCAGAAGGGGTGCAGCTCTGCCTACACCTTGATTTCATCCCAGTGAGGTTTCTATCTCGTTGTGTAGGACTTCTATCCTACAGAACCATAAGAGGATAAATTGTGTTGTTTTAAGATGATAAGTTTGTAGTAATTTGTCACAGCAGCAAATAGAAAATGAAGACACAGAGAGAGAGAGATGAAACTGACTTACTTATCTGTAAATGACTCTGGCTGCAAGAGTAGGAGTGGGGAGATTGATTAAGAGCCGTTGCCCCGATAAGAGTTTAGATGAAGCGGGTGACAGTAGGGATGACAAAGTAAGTGGTTTCAGGATGTATCTTGGAGATAAAGCCTGTGATACTTGTTGTGGGAATGTCCAGTTATAGCCACAGGTACGGCCAGGAGAGGTAGTGAGAATCAAGTGTGAACTCCTGGGCTTTTGGCTTAAGCAGTTCAGTGGACTTGAGATGGGAGGGAAATTGGGGGCAGGTTTTGATGGGGAAACGTGTCACACAGATTAATTTGGGTGCCTCATCCAAATCATGTAGTTAGCGTCTCTTCTTGAGATGCACATGGACTATGGAGGACATGAACATACGGTGTAACGAGGCATTGATTGTGAGCTGTGTGCATGGAAGAAATGAACAGTGTACGTATGTGTGTTTTAAACACCTGGAAATAAAAGTGTCACGTAATGCAGTGTTGGGGTAGACAGGTGAGAAGCCTCATTAGCAGGCAGATCAATAGTATGTATTGATAGAGGTAACGGGTATGGGCTGCAATTATGTACCAAGTATATTGCTATGTGCTCCCCATACCTGTACGGTAACTTTCCCAGCAAACCGAAAATATAGGTATTTTATTATTATTCTCTCTTCTGGGCAAGGACACTGAGGCTTATAGGTTAAAAAACATGCCCGAGGTCACCCAGCTAATGAGCAGAGTAATGAGGGGTGAGCCAGGTTCGTCAGGGTCTGAGCCTGCTTCTTCAGCAGAGCGTTCCACTGCCCTAACACAATTTGACCTTGGAGGAGACTGACCCACCTTGCCTCCCAGTCCATCGGGAAGGGGCAATCAGCTGCTGGAAAGAAATCCGGTGGAAGGGTAGCATCAGTGGGTGCTGCACTGCAGCCATCGACGTTTTCAGATCCAGCTCCGCAGATCGCCCAGATGCTCTTGCCCAAAGGTGGGATTTGGTAATTCAGCTCCAATACCAAGCCAAAGAGCGCCCAACTGGCTGCTTTTCTCCCAGGCTTGGCATCTCTTGGAGAGGCAGCTCCCAGGCAGAGAAGAAAGCACCTTTCTCTTTTCCTTGACTCGTGAAAAGATAGCAAAACCCAGATGCTCTCATTAAATGATGGTTCCTGCAATCCCGCCCTACTTCAAGATTAGAATTGTGAGGGACATAGAGAACCATGGCGATGCATTCGATGATCGATTAATCATGCTTAGTTTCTCTTCGCTAAAAGTATAGTTGTTTTCCTGCGTAGAGATGTTGAAAATGTTTTTCTGCCCGGAATTTAGTATTTTCGGTGGGTGAGGTTCCAAAGCACTAGGGGTTTGTCTGAAATGAGATAATGGGTAGGAAGAAAATTCTGGAACAAAGTAGGTACCCAACGAATATATGTTGAAAGTTGAGGGACTATTGCAATAACAATAGCTAACACTTCATGTGCGTCTATGTCAAGCCCTTTGCTCTTACAAATTGTCACCCCGCAGCCTCATAGCAACTCAGAGCAGTGCAATTTTAGGGAGGTAGCGTATCCTCCCTAAAATGCAGGCGTGGAGCCTGCACTTGAACTCAGTTAAGGGTTAAACACAATAGACCTGAAGGATATTTAATGCTTGAAAAATATTTTATATGAAAAATAAAAATTTGGGGACTCCAAGGTAAGTAAAACAGAAGAGAAGGAAGGAAAAGAAATTCTAAAGGTTTCTCTTATTTTCCCAGCTTGTAAATGCACTGAAAACGGTATCTACATTTGAGGTCCAGATTGTCGATTATAAGTATAAGTAAGTAATAACCCACTCTTGGGCAGACACTGTCGTCTTTGACTTTGATGAGTTAATGGGTGAGAGGAAGGACTTTGTAAATGGGAGTTGTTGGCGCATGTAGACCTGGAAGGGACAAGCGGACGCCATCGGTGAATGAAATGGGCAGGTGAGGACCCCGGGCGTAGGGGGCGGAAGCTCTTCAGCTGTGAGGGGCCTGATGCTGCCGCACCATCCCTTTTTTAAAGAGAAGTGATGAATCCTGATTTTCATTTGAAATTTCTGAATTTCTAAAAGTCGGCAACTAATTCCGAATTTAAAAAAAATGTTGTAGACTTCACTTGCCTGCTAGCTGCTGGGTTTCAACTTCTGACCTACACTATGGGAATAATTAAGGGAATAATTTGAGGTTCATCAAATAATATGAGGCTTCTAAAAATCTTTTCAAATATTACATTTCTTTTAAAATTCTGATACAAGTAAACAGCTTGGAAAGACAGAATCTGTCTATCATTTACTGTCTAGGTAACCCGTGTTGACATGAAAACAATAATACTGTAAAGATAATACATGTTCCTGGTAGAAGAGGTCAAGCAGTACAGAAAGGTTCCAAAGGAAAGTGAAAACTTTTCTCTCCCTCCTTGGCCCACCCACAATCATCGTCTTGTTGTCCAAACAGTTTTTTTCTATGTAAAAAAAAAAAGTATACATATACCAGCATAGGGTGCCTGACACAGCTAGGTTTAAACTTACTGGTAAGTGTGGGAGTTTTGCACCTCATTCATTATACATTTGTTCATTTATACCACTCATCTTCATCAGGTACCTACCGTGGGCCTCGCAGTAGGAATGCAGTTATGAAGGAAGCATGGCTCTTGTCTTGAGGACCTCAGACACTGAATATGAATAAATAGCAGTTGCAAGAACAGCTGTCATTTATTGAGACTTACTCTTATGCTTCCCTAGCTCTGTCTCATCTCCCTCTTCTGAGAGTCTTGTGAGGTTGGCGAAGCTATTCCTATTGGACGGGTGACACTTCGCCACGGTGACTCCCCTCATTGCCACCTGAGGAAAAATGTGGAGGTAGAAGAGGGCCCGGGGTCAGGATGAAAGAACTGGGCGGGGGGGCACCTCTGAGGCTCTGTCGCTGACTGGCTTTGAAGAATACGTAGGGGTTTCCCCGATGAAGGAAGAGTGACAGTAAATTCAGACCTTGCCAATCTGAGGGACACAGTAGTAACCTAACGGCATCGAGGTTTGTGAGTCCTGACCTTTGGGCCTTTTCCAGAAGTAATAACTCCACGGATGTATTCCCCCGGACAAAAGCCCCTCCTTGCCTCGGTATCGGTTGGCATCCCTGGGGAAACTGAGGCACATGGACCTCGTGTGAGACACACTTGGTGGCTTTGTCTCCCTTCCCTTGTGCGGAGTGTGGGGTTTCTGTTCTGCTGGGAGAGGAAGCTCTTTAAAGAGGTGAAGCTGATTAAGAGGAAATTTGCTTTCCCTTCTTAGATGCCAGCGGACCTATTTATTTTTCTTCACTTGGAGTGGGTGGGACTGGGAGATCGGATTCCATTATGTTTATTCAGAGTGTTAGCCTCTGTCCAGCATTTCTTCCCAGCCTCACTGACTTTCGGTTCAGCATTTGCACATCTTTTAGTGTCTTGAATTCCAAGACTACTTTTACAGTCCGAAGGTGCATACAATTGTGGATTTATCCCTCATAAATCCACAAAGACAGGAAAATGCCGTCATGGCATCCAAGACAATCTTAGGAGTACCCAGATGGTAATCGAATGACTCAGATCATTTTGTAAAAATTCCTATATGATTTTAAGGAAATAGTTTTCAGTTTGGTACAAATATATCATAACATCACTTTAATGCTTGCTAATTTCATTTTTCATAAAGAGGGAGCAAGCCTCAGGCTCAGAGCTCTGCCTTGCAATGTTATCTACCTAGATTGGAATAATGCTTTTTAGTTTCATTATATCTATTTTTACAGTTTTGTTCATGTCATGAGTTACTGGTTTTCCATTTAAGACAGGTATAAAAGTTTTCTTCTAAAATAAGAAAATGTAAGTTTAAAAAAAAGGGAGCTTAACTTAGAGAAAATGTTATGAAGTAATTAAGTTGTTAATTTCTGGAGTAGATTTGAAATTGGCAAAAAGATATGGCAGAACGTGCTTTAAATTGGGAAAGATATTGTATAAACGCTGTTACCATGAATCATGAGCTTACGCAACTTAATACTTTCCCTCTCCTCCCCTTTTTTCTTTTGTTGTTCTTTATGTTCACAGGGAACTTGGGTTTTTAGATCAGCTAAGGATCACGCATAACACGGACATATTTATTGGAATGCATGGAGCTGGTCTTACCCATTTACTTTTCCTTCCAGACTGGGCTGCTGTGTTTGAACTGTAAGTGTTTGGGGACAGTTTTACATTGAGGCAGCTGATAATGCTTTTTCTGCCAGCTGAGGCTTTCATTCAGAGCATCAAAAGGCTTAATATTTAATCATTACAAAGAAGTCACATCATGTAGGCATCTAAAAAGAAAAAAAGACCTAAAACTAAAAATGTGAAGTCTGCAGCCTGCCATTGCCCTTAGCAAGCAAATATCTCTTTCCTTCCCCATCTCAGCAGGATTCGGGAGATGTGAATCTATGGTTTCCTTCCTCTGAGTGCATTTCTGTGTTCCTGTCAAACTGAAAGCATCTCCCTGCAATCAGTGTAATTATTGTGTTAAAAGAGAACCTGGGGCTTCCCTGGTGGCGCAGTGGTTGAAAGTCCGCCTGCCGATGCAGGGGACACGGGTTCGTGCCCCGGTCCGGGAAGATCCCACATGCCACAGAGTGGCTGGGCCCGTGAGCCATGGCCGCTGGGCCTGCGCGTCCGGAGCCTGTGCTCCGCAACAGGGAGGCCACAACAGTGAGAGGCCCGCGTACCACACACAAAAAAAGAGAACCTGTGTGTTGCCCACCCATGTTCATAGCCGCGTTTTTCCATTAGCCAAGAGGTGGAGGCAACTCAGTTGTCCATTGACTGTTGAATGGATAAACAAAATGTGATACACACACATCCAATAGAATATTATTCAGCTTAAAAAAAAAAAAAGAAATCCTATCTCATGCTATATGACAGGGACGAACCTTGAGGACATTATGGTAAGTGAAATAAGTTACTCTCAAAAGCACAAATACCGTATGATTTCACTTATATGAGGTACATAGAGTAGTCAGATTCATAGAGACAGAAAGTAGAAGAGGTTGCCAGGAACTGGGGGGAGAGGTGAACGGGGACTTAGTGTTTAATGGGGACAGAGTTTCACTTTTGCAAAATGAAAGCATTCTGGAGATTGATCACATAACAATGAGGTATACTTACCCCTGAACTGTACACTTATAAATGGTTAAGATGGTAAATTTTATGTCATGAGTTTTCTACCACAATTAAGAAAAAGAGAGAGTTTGAGTACCTGTATGCCTGGGTGACGAGCACAGCTCCAAACACAAGCCCACCACTTTGCCTAGTGCTCACTGATTCCATACACAGGGAGACTGAGGCCTCAAGGGGAAAGTAATCTTCCCAGAGTGTTCCTTTAACTCGGTGGTTGGTTATGGAGACGTGGACTTCTCTCCTTTAATAATTCTACTCTGGATACCAATAGTGATTACTGTTACCTGATTTCCCCTCCTTGCATCTAAATATTTTTATTTTATGGTTGCATTTTAAAAATGACTTGGCATTTCTTCTTTTCTTTTTTTTTTATTTGCGGTACGCGGACCTCTCACTGCTGTGGCCTCTCCCGTTGCGGAGCACAGGCTCCAGACGCGCAGGCTCAGCGGCCACGGCTCACGGGCCCAGCCGCTCCGTGGCACGTGGGATCCTCCCGGACTGGGGCACGAACCCACGTCCCCTGCATCGTCAGGCGGACTCTCAACCACTGCGCCACCAGGGAAGCCCTTGACTTGGCATTTAAATGAGAGACTAATTAGAAAAAAGTTGTCATGAACTTCCAACACCCTGAAAAACATTTAAATATATATATATGTTAGAGAAATAGCCAGATAATTGTAGATTCTATTTCAGTTCTTCATTTCTTCCAGAGAGGAAGGGAGGGAAGGAAAGAAATGTCATTGAGAAATCTCAGGCCTTGGAGGTCAACAGACCTGGGATGAATTTCTGCTTTGGAGGATATGTTACCTACCCCAAAGCCACGTTCATATGTACAAAGATGGGGGTATTAGGAGTTAATATCTAGTTCACAGTCCTATTGATAAAGGTCCCCTCCATTCTTTAATCCTATTCTGCTTTTGGAAAGTTAAGATAATTTAGTTATGGGAATATTTTTAAAATAATCTCTCCCACTCATTTGTGTGTGTGTGTTTCTATAAACAGTTTTATTGGGACATAATTTACACACCATACAATTCACTCATTTAAATCGTATAATTCAATGGTTTTAATATATTGACAGAGTTGTGCAACCACCACCATAACTTTTTTTTTTTTAACATCTTTATTGGAGTATAATTGCTTTACAATGGTGTGTTAGTTTCTGCTTTATAACAAAGTGAATCAGTTATACATATAGATATGTTCCCATATCTCTTCCCTCTTGCGTCTCCCTCCCTCCCACCCTCCCTATCCCACCCCTCTAGGTGGTCACAAAGCACCAAGCTGATCTCCCTGTGCTATGCGGCTGCTTCCCACTAGCTATCTACCTTACGTTTGGTAGTGTATATATATGTCCATGCCACTCTCTCACTTCGTCCCAGCTTACCCTTCCCCCTCCCCATATCCTCAAGTCCATTCTCCAGTAGGTCTGTTTCTTTATTCCTGTCTTACCCCTAGGTTCTTCATGACCTTTTTTTTTTTCTTAGATTCCATATATATGTGTTAGCATACGGTATTTGTTTTTCTCTTTCTGACTTACTTCACTCTGTATGACAGACTCTAGGTCCATCCACCTCACTACAAATAACTCAATTTCGTTTCTTTTTATGGCTGAGTAATATTCCATTGTATATATGTGTCATATCTTCTTTATCCATTCATCCGATGATGGACACTTAGGTTGCTTCCATCTCCTGGCTATTGTAAATAGAGCTGCAATGAACATTTCGGTACATGACTCTTTTTGAATTATGGTTTTCTCAGGGTATATGCCCAGTAGTGGGATTGTGGATCATATGGCAGTTCTATTTTTAGTTTTCTAAGGAACCTCCATACTGTTCTCCATAGTGGCTGTATCAATTTACATTCCCACCAGCAGTGCAAGAGTGTTCCCTTTTCTTCACACCCTCTCCAGCATTTATTGTTTGTAGATTTTTTGATGATGGCCATTCTGATTGGTGTGAGATGATATCTCATTGTAGTTATTTTTTTATTAAAAAATTTTTTTTCTCATTGTAGTTTTGATTTGCATTTCTCTAATGATTAATGATATTGAGCATTTTTTCATGTGTTTGTTGGCAATCTGTATATCTTCTTTGGAGAAATGTCTATTTAGGTCTTCTGCCCATTTTTGGATTGGGTTGTTTGTTTTTTTGTTATTGAGCTGCATGAGCTGCTTGTACATTTTGGAGATTAATCCTTTGTCAGTTGCTTCATTTGCAAATATTTTCTCCCATTCTGAGGGTTGTCTTTTGGTCTTGTTTATGGTTTCCTTTGCTGTGCAAAAGCTTTGAAGTTTCATTAGGTCCCATGTGTTTATTTTTGTTTTTATTTCCATTATTCTAGGAGGTGGGTCAAAAAGGATCTTGCTGTGATTTATGTCATAGAGTGTTCTGCCTATGTTTTCCTCTAAGAGTTTGATACTTTCTGGCCTTATATTTGGGTCTTTAATCTATTTTGAGCTTATTTTTGTATATGGTGTTAGGAAGTGTTCTAATCTCATACTTTTACATGTACCTGTCCAGTTTTCCCAGCACCACTGATTGAAGAGGCTGTCTTTTCTCCATTGTATATTCTTGCCTCCTTTATCAAAGATAAGGTGACCATATGTGTGTGGGTTTATCTCTGGGCTTTCTATCCTGTTCCATTGATCTATATTTCTGTTTTTGTGCCAGTACCATACTGTCTTGATTACCGTAGCTGTGTAGTATAGTCTGAAGTCAGGGAGCCTGATTCCTCCAGCTCCATTTTTCATTCTCAAGATTGCTTTGGCTCTTCATGGTCTTTTGTGTTTCCATACAAATTGTGAAATTTTTTGTTCCGGTTCTGTGAAAAATGCCATTGGTAGTTTGATAGGGATTGCACTGCATCTGTAGATTGCTTTGGGTAGTAGAGTCATTTTCACATTGTTGAGTCTTCCAATCCAAGAACATGGTATATCTCTCCATCTATTTGTATCATCTTTAATTTCTTTCATCATTGTCTTATAATTTTCTGCATACAGGTCTTTTGTCTCCTTAGGTAGGTTTATTCCTAGATATTTTATTCTTTTTGTTGCAATAGTAAATGGGAGTGTTTTCTTAATTTCACTTTCAGATTTTTCATCATTAGTGTATGGGAATGCAAGAGATTTCTGTGCATTAATTTTGGATCCTGCTATTTTACCAAATTCATTGATTAGCTCTAGTAGTTTTCTGGTAGCATCTTTAGGATTCTCTATGTATAGTATCATGTCATCTGCAAACAGTGACAGCTTTACTTCTTCTTTTCCGATTTGGATTCCTTTTATTTCTTTTTCTTCTCTGATTGCTGCCACCACCATAATTTTATAAAATTTTCATTATCCCCCCAAATAAACTCAGTACTTGTCAGCAGTTACTCTCATTCCATCCTCCTTCCAGCCCCTGGAAACCACGAATCTACTTTCTGTCTCTATAGATTTGTCTATTATGGACATTTCATATAAGTGGAATCATACCATATGTGGGCTTTTCTGACTGGCTTCTTTCACTTAGCATCATGTTTTCAAGGTTCATCCATGTTGTAGCATGGATCAGTACTCATTCCTTTTTATTGTCAATAATTATTCCTTGTATGGATATACCACATTTTATTTATCCATTCATCAGTTGGTAGACATTCAGGTCGTTTGCACCTTTCGGCTATTGTGAACGCTGCTGCTATGAACACGAATCTCTCTCACTCTTGTTTACCGTTTATAAAACCTTTTGTAAGAACATATTTGGGAGGTGAATTTTTTCCCCGGAGAATTGCGAATTGGCCAGCAATCCCAGGCAAAAGCCCCATGTGTGGATGCCCTTGTGTCCTTAGATACAACTGTGGAGATGAACGCTGTTACTTGGACCTGGCCAGGCTGAGAGGCGTCCACTACATCACTTGGAGAAGGCAGAGCAAAGTCTTTCCTCAAGATAAGGTAAAGTTCAGGACAAAACTCATCCTGTTTTCTTTTTAATTGGTTTAAAGTGTCTAGTTAATGTGACAAACTATCTTTGAACTTCAATCCAAAGATAAAATGGTTCTTCTCTGGAATGGAATCGTGAGTTGCTGTGCTTTATATTTGCAAATTGGGGGAAAGGAGAAATTAATTACTCTCTCTCTTTATGTGGAAAAGAGAACTTCATGAAATTTGGGCCTAGAGAGATCTATTAAATTATTTAGAGACGGGATCAGGAAACTACAGACCAGTGGGCTAAATCTGGCCCTCCAGTTGTTTTTATAAATAAAGTTTTATCGGGACATGGTCCTGCTCCTCTGTTTCTGTGTTGTCTGTCTATGGCTGCTTGAGCACTTCATTGGCAGGGCTGAATAATTGTGGTGGAGACTTTGTGGTCCATGGAGCTGAAAATATATGTTATGTGGCCTGTTACTGAAAAAATTTGCCAACCTCTGATGTAGAGCATAAACTAAAATAGTTCTTTGGCCAAAGTAAAATAACTTTCTTCTTGTTCAGAAAACCACATCCTCAACACCTTACCAATTTGTCTTTTGCTTCGTCTGTGCAGGGCCACCACCCAACTCTGGGGGAACATCCGAAGTTTACCAACTACTCTTTTGATGTAGAAGAATTTATGTACCTTGTCCTTCAGGCTGCAGACCACGTATTGCAACACCCGAAGTGGCCATTTAAGAAAAAACATGATGAGCTGTAAATGTGTTGGGTCTTTTTGCCAAAAGGGAGTGTTTAGACGGTCCTCCGCCCAGACTCACCTCACAGTTAAATAGGTAAAACAGCCTGTTTTCTCCTAGCCCCAAAGTACCTTTTTTTAATACCAAAACATGCCTTCAGGGTATTACTTATGTGTTTTATAGTCTTTAACTGTTTCATGTGATTGTTGTGTCATTGCTATTTATCAAGATACTCTTTTTGCACTGAAAACTTTACTTTTTATAGTTCAGAAACTGGGCCTGGGCTCACGGCCATAACTGAGCTTTTTTCTTAGGGATACCAAAGTTTGCAACTTTCTTAGCTTTAGAATTTGTAAATGTTTTTATAGCATACCATGAGCTCGTCATTCAAGAGGCTTCCAACTTGTTAATGATATATTTGAGCAAATTCACAACTCATTGATTTGCCATGACTTGTCCACAGCACAGTTTGTAGTAGGAAAGGAAAACATGCAAACACACACACACACACACACACACACACACACACACACACACAGAGTTGTGGTTCTCAGTACCAAGCTATAGGCCCGTGTTATAGATTAAACAGTATTAGAAACAGATCTGTTTAACTGTATCAGAGTCTAAACTAACTCCTGCTGAATTCTCTGTTGTATCTTTTTAGTCAATGCCAGGTTATCTTCGTCAAGAACCTGAATTAACCATGCTGTTGCATTAGTTGATATTTTGAACTAATCATGTTCAAATCATGTTTTCCTCACATGTAACAACCACATATGATAAAAACAAATGAGGACGTCCTGTAGGACTGTTTTGTGTACCTTCTAGCTGCTTTCCACTGGTTCCTTCTTAGCCGTGGAGAGCATTTACAAATCACATTGTGGTTTTGTTGCACACGTGCTTGTAAGTGCGTAGACCTGCGTGTATGCGTCTACCTCTTTTAGCATGGAAGTATTCCAGTCTTCGATTTTGCAAACTTTAAATTAGTCACAAGGGGAGATTTTTTTCCCTATGAAAAAAGTAAAGACACGCACACACAAAAGGTAAAGACATGCATGAATTATCCAATTCAAAATGAATAAGAAGCCATAAGAAAGTGCTGCTGATGAAACAGCGTATCTGAAATGCAGTCCCACTCTTTGAATGGGCTTCATTTCCTATTGTCTATGAACTTTCAATTTAGTGGTCAGAAACCATGGATTTATTTTACTGTAAAATGTGGAGTTTACATTTTATTAACACTTGAGCAGTCTAATTTAGAGACTAGCAACTTCTATTTTTTTAAGTAGGGGATTAACAGAGTACAGCAGAGCTAAGGATTTAAAAAAAAATATTTTAGAGTTGTAAAAAAAAAAAAAAGAATATGCAGCAGAGAAGTGACCTGAGAAATCTAAAATATTTATTATCTGGACCTTTACAGAACATGTTTGCTGACTCCTGCTTTAAAGGATTATGAACAGTTTTCTAGAGTTGAGGAATATTTATTAAAATATCTGTCAAGGAATTAGTGAATCACTGTAGCAATAGCTTTGATTTGAGATCTTAACATTGTTTTAAAAGACTGACAACATATGAATTTTGAAATGAGTGGTGTTGCTGCCGTCCTTTGTCCAGTATACTGAGTAACCACTGAGATTGCTCACATAAAAGGAGCTGTCAAGACCACATTGCACTTCTAGTCAGAGAGGTGTAAACATCTGAAAAAATGGCCTCGAGAAAGGTTTCAACAGTTTATCTTCTTACGTCATTTAAAAAACTATGTGGCAATGCGATTCTGTAGATGATCAAGAATTTCAGACGTTGAGAACAATTTCATAATAAAATGTTACATTTGCATATTTCACATTTAAAGAGACAATATGTTTTACAGAAACAAGAAAATACATTAGATACTTTATGGAACTCAGTTTTATCAGACTTTTTTGATGGGAGCAAAGGAAGGTCTTCAAATTGTTATAAAATGTAAAGACTGCTCTTTTTATGAAGTCTTTGAAGAGGTGCATGTCATTGTTTGTACATGTGGGGTATGGCCTTGGAATAAATCGTTTTACAATTTATTTGAATACTGGACTATTTTCAGGGTTTTCTGTGTCTGAATGTCAGATGCTTACTTTTTTTTCCGGCAGTCTGGCAGCTCTAGATTATACAAATTGAGTAGCTCACTGATGAAGAATTCAGCTTAAGGAAAAATTGTACCTTACAATTATTTAGCAGTTTATCATATGATGCTTTCACAAATGTTATATTGCATAATCTTTTTAAAATGACGTAAGAATTGTTCCCATTTCTATTTATTTATTTATTTGTTTATTTATTTAGTTATCTGGCTGCTCCAGGTCTTAGTTGCAGCACGCGGGATCTTCATGGCTGGATCTAGTTCCCTGAACAGGGATTGAACCTGCGCCCCCTGCATTGGGAGCGTGGAGTCTTAACCACTGGACCACCAGGGAAGTCCCAGAATTGTTCCCATGTTTAACGTGAAAAGAGTCAGATGCTGTTTAAAGGACTTCTCTAAAGATCACAGGTCTTCTGATTCCATGTCCATAGTTCTCCATTTATTCACTCAATTATTTACTATTGATGGAGCAACTACTGGGTACCATCTCTACTCTAGGTTCTGGGGATACAGCAGTGAGCAGAACAGAAAAAAGTCCTTGCCTTCATGGACCTTGCGTTCCGGTGGAGGAGACAGATATTAACCTACATAAGGGAAATATATTGTGTGCTGGATGTTGATACATGGTATGGACAAAACTAAAACGGGGACAAGGGATGTGGCGCTCTGGGGTGGGGTGGAGTTGGGCACCCTTAGGTAGAGGATAAGGAAATCCTCGCTGAGGTCACCTTTGAGTCAAGATTTAAAGCAGCTAAAGGAGGAGGAAAGTAGACAGCAGAGCAAAGAGCATCCCAGGAAGACCGGATGGTGCGTGCCAAGGTCTTGAGGCAGGAGGATGCCTGGTGTGTTTGAGGAACAGCAAGGAAGCCAGTGTAGCTGGAGTGATCGAGGGGCAGAGGAGTAGGAGATGAGGTCAAAGAGGCAATGGGCTTGGGGTGCAGATGGCAAGGCTCTTGTCCTTTGATGCTTATGAGTTGGGAGTCATTGAAAGGATCTCAAACAGGAGGAATGACCCGACTTACTTTGAAGAGGCTTTGAAGAGGCTAACTCTAGCTGTTATGCTGGGAATAGACTGTGGAGGGATGCCTTAGGTCGTGTTCCCTGGGAAATAGACTCTGGGATGGAGATTCATACACAGGTGGGTCATTGGGGAAGAGGCTCATGATTAACACCTGTGAGGAAGGGGCCCAGTCTTGGGTGGAGGGAGGAATGGCGCTGCAATGCAGTAGCAGGAGAGGCCTCAGGGGGGCGCTGCGCAGGCTCCTTAGGCAGGGCAGGTTTCTTCAGCTGAGGGCAGTTCGGCCGTAATCCATTAGTAGCCAACATTCCCAGCAATCGGGAGACTGTGATGGGGGGACTTCCGAGACCCACTGAAGCATCCACAACGGGGCCAGGGTGATGCCCTTCAGCTTGTTCCACTCGCCCTTTTACTGCTTGCCAGCAGGCTTCTAAGGCTTTATTCGATTCAGATTTTTTTTGTGGTACGCGGGCCTCTCACTGCTGTGGCCTCTCCCGTTGTGGAGCACAGGCTCCGGACGCGCAGGCTCAGCGGCCATGGCTCACGGGCCCAGCCGCTCCGCGGCATGTGGGATCTTCCCGGACCGGGGCACGAACCCGCGTCCCCTGCATCGGCAGGCAGACTCTCAACCACTGCGCCACCACGGAAGCCCTCAGATTTTATTTGTTTTAAAGACTCCTTATGGATGATCCCGTGTACTTCATATGGTAGAAGGCGAGACTGGGCTTTGTGGGCCATATGAGTTCTCTGTCCCATATTACTATTCGTTGGTCCCCACCCCCAATCTTTTAAAAAATGTAAAAACCATTCTTTGGGATGTTTAACAGAGAGGTTAAGGAACTTGCTCAAAGCCACACAGCTAATAAGTAATAGATGGATTGTGAAGGAATTTAAACAGGGAGGTAATGTAGGAAGTAAGGAAGGAAGGGAGGAAGGAAGGAAGGGAGGGAAGGAGCAAAGGGAGGAAAGGAGGGAGGGAGAGAAGGAAAAAGAAGAGAGAAATTGGGTGGAAAAGAAAATAGAGAACGAAGTCCTGGAGTTAGGTTTTTTCTTGCAGTTATACTGTAGTTTTCTTTGAAACAGTCAATGGAGAGAGAATTAGAAAAATACTCGCTTTTTTGAAACTAGGAGCATGTAAGCAAATTAACTCAGGTGTGGTTGCCTTGGAGAAACCAGTCATTCAAAATACCATATTCCCAACCAAGGGCTATTGCCAGACACTTTAATACTGTCCTCCTCTGTTAGCTTATTGGGGCATGGCAAAAGATGTCATAAGCCCTCGTATCATGGAAGAAGTGGCTTAGAGCCAGGCACAGGTTATGTGGGCCCTCACTTTGAACGGTAATGCACATTTTGACCACAAGGTGGCAGTCAAGCCCTTCCAAATGGCCTCTGCGCCCAGAAGCCTGGGTGTAATAATCTCGTAAATTCCAGACACCTGAGCGCCAGGAGTAGGGCCTTGCTTCTGTGTGTGATGGATTTTTTTTCATCCCTGTTTTGAGGGAAAGTGGGAAAATTATCCTGGACAGTTTTCAGGTTCAAGTGTGTAATTTCTTAGCTGCAGCCAATTCCTGAATCCTCTGTATTATCTCCTGATCATCTTGTGCAAAGAGCATTTGGTCCTGGGAAGATGATTTCTAGTGAGAGAAGCTGTTTCGTGGAATGCATTCTCTTTGATGCAAAGGAGTTTTCTTGGGAGGAGAGCTCTACTGTAGGATCTCGAGATAGCCCATTAGTTCCTCAATCCTTAGGAGCTAAATTCTTTCTTATATTGGCTTTATAGTTTATTGCATATGCGAGTGCTGTTACCATTTAGTTTGAAAAGAACCAGACTATAAGTGGAGGAGTTCATTTAAGTCTAGATGCCAAAAAATGGTGGCATGTTAATTAAGGAGGGCTTTTCAGCACAAAGGGGTGTTAATATCGAGTTTTCACATGGATCTGATCTAATGCAGTGCTTCAGGTATTTGCTATCATTTATTTTTCACAACCATGAGTTGCAGAATTTTGAGATGTTTTTGCTGAAAAGGTACTTGGAGATCCTTCATGGCATTGTTCATTCCACAATGGTTTGTTGACTGCCCACCATTAACAGGCACTTTCAGGCCAAGAGAGAAGATTCCTGGGAGAGGCATGTTGTGTAGACCCAAGAATTCAGTTACAGAAATCGGAAGGCCCTGCTTCCCCACCCTTGTAGCACAGAAGCTGTGCGACCATGGGTTTGTTGCTTTGCCTCAGGAAACTTCAATTCTCTCCTAAACTGGTGGCAATATCTATTAGGTAGGGAAGATTTAAGGATAAAATAAAAAATTATGTCCCACTTGTTTAGGGCTTGGCACATAACATCTGTTCAGTAAATGCTATTATTATACTATGACACAGAGGACTATTATCATTTATAGCTGTAGTACCTGGGGGGCATTTAAATTCTGATCTCCAGACCTCTCCCCAAGCCAAGTTAATCAGAATCTCACGGGTACCATCGGCTGACTCTGTTTGGTCAAATGTCCCCAGATGTTCTGATGCACAGGGGCTGGGAACTGCCGCTCTAGGAGAGAGTGTCAGCTGATGACACTAGACAGCTCATGAGGTCCAAGCCAGCCCTCGGCAAAGTGTCTTCCACTGGGTATCCTTAAGATGTTACATCAAAAGCGGTTTACTAGGGAAATGCTGCCTCAAGCCGAGTAGAGGTGTTTCCTGCAGGGTTTCTCCCTACTTTTGATACACTGATATACACCGTGAATTTCTAAATAGGAGGAGGTAATATGCACCGTTTCTAAATTCATTTGACCACTGGATCTCTTTCTCAGGGAGCGTGAAGATTAGTGTTGCAAAAATCCCCCTCCAGGCAGGCTGCTGTAAGCAGTGGCCACGGCTGTATCTGCCTCCTGGGGAATGGGTACCAGGCCGTGCTTTTAGCGTGAAGTCACTCTGGCCGGTTGCGTCTTGTTTGTGAGTTAAATCAACGGTGCTACCAGATCACAGTTGATTGGACCAGGGATCGATAAGTGAGCTGCATTCTATCCATTCGGGCAGTTGTAAGATAAAGGGTAAAGAAATGACCCACGCAGATCCCTTCAGCAGGGACGTTTGGATGTGAGACGTGAGGAAGATGCCGAGGTTTCTGGTACCACGACAGATCTCAGTTACTGGCGCTTCTTTTGTATCAAGTACAACTATGAGCTTTTACTCTCCAGGTATCCACGAGGCCACCCGTACATTCAGGTCATGCATGGGATGACCTCTTCCTTCCAGCCTGAAAGAACCCAACTAACGTAGCCATCCCAGACTCCAGGTGTGATTATCCCCACACTACACCATGGCAGTGGAAGGACGTGGACTCAGGCCTTCGTATTCCAAGTTTAATGCCATCCAGCTGCCCTAACACATTCCTGACTCTCAAGTCAAGGGCCTCAGCAGGACAAGTGGAGGGAAAATGTAATGGTAGCTAAAAAAAAAAAAAAAAAATCTGGAAAGCAAATCGCAAGGACGCAAATCTGTAGAAGTACCTATGGTCTTAGGGGGAAATAGGAGCTGGGCACAGGGTTAAATAAAGGTGCCGGAGAAATCAGGCCAGTTTGCTGTGAGGTGATTGGATGAGGAATTAGCAAGGGGGTGAGTTAAAGGTCAAGGTTCCAAGTCCCAGAAGAAAACCCACCCTTAAGGTGGAATAGACAGTAAATAAAGCTGAGGACAAGAGTGAAATGAGGGAAGTACCAGACACACCGAACAGGCCAAAGGAGAGGCAGGGAAAGGCCAGCATGAACGTTGGAAAGTTTGAGGAAAAGGGGGCAGAGGAAGACAATGCAAACGCTGAGGACACCGGAAGCAACTGCTTCCTGCAGCAACATCTTCCTGCGGCAAGTACTCCAGCCCCTGGGGCCGGCAGGAAATGGAGAGCAAAGCAAGAAAGCACGGATTGACAGAGCAATTCTACACTGATAGAAAAATGTAAATCCTCCAGAGAAATATCTTTATCTACATAGCCCTTTTCAAAAATGCAGGCGATATTCAGCAACGTTCAGCTAGAGAATTTACACAAGATGTTTTTCGAAGCGTTTATGGTTCACTTGGTGGAAATGGGACTGGGAGTTTTTCCTCCTCCGGTTCACAGGGATGTCAATGCATCCTCTTGCCTGTGAAA